TTGTTAAAAACACCGTGTCCTCTAATAAGTTAGCAACTACAAGTCCGTCATTTCCTTTTTATTGGTCAAAGCTAGATTTATCTTAGCATGTTACTCTAACAAGTGCAAATTTGTCTTTGCTCCATATGCGTAAACCATGTTAAGATAACTAGTTCTCATTTCAATTACTCATTTCTTTGCATAATAAATCTTATTAATAGCACAATATGTTAACTTCAATATCACTATCATTATGAGTGATTGATTCAGTTCCTATGTAATGAGCAAGTAGTCTTAATATCTTTTGGTCACCTATGAGAAATTTCTGGTAATTTCTTCTCATTTCAACTACTCATTTCTCAGTGTACTCTTAAATCTACATTTTTCATGTATCATATCTATATTGAACTTGCGGTGTGCGCGCGCGCACCCAATATTGGAACATAATTAATTTGCATACAAAAAAAGAAAGTAGTTGATAATGTTAATAAAGAAATAGTTGAAAGGAATTAGGCATGTGGGTGGTTGTATATGTAGTTGATACAGATAGTATGAGATGAACTAGAGCTAGTAAAATTGGAAATGGAGAATATATTCCTCATGTTGGAAATATGGTTATTTTACAAATAATGTTCTAATAAGTAACTAAAATTTGTAATTATTACATCAAAAAATACAGCTTTAATAGAACGATGATATCCTCATCGATAACTTTTGGGAACAATAACATGAATTTCTTCTAAATTATTCAACCCTCTTAGCAGAATCTTTTTGGTTAATTAACAACTACATTTATCCTTATTTCTTGCTCCATCAACTATGATCTCATCACTCCCATTGTCATGAGAACTCCTAAGAACTCCCGTGAGCCACGTCCTTCTAAATTTTAGCTATCTTGCTTGTCATGAGCCACGTCCTTCTAAATTTTACTACCGTGATTCATGGCAAAAGATTGACACTAAATAGTGAATCGTCACTCTAATTAGTCATATGTATATCTCGCTACTAATCATCACAGCGCTTATTTCTTGTTTAGAAAATAGTGTTTAAAAAGATAAAAATAATAGCAAGTATTTTTCATAATCTTAAGATATTAATATTGAAGCTGAAGCCAAAAGTTGCATAATTGAGTATATGTTATGAGCATGTTATAGGTGAACAATTATATAAGAATATTACACTTAGTCATAATAACATCATATGTATATATGTACGTACATATATATGTAAGATATAGCTAACACCACCCAATTGGATGACACCTAGTATTCGCTATGATCTCAATGCTAAACAATGCTTCAATTTGGAAATCATATTCTTTTAAACTTTTAGCCAAGCATCAAATGAACCATTAGGTTTATTACTAAAACACATTCATCTAAAATTGTGAAGATCGAATGATCTCAAGAGCATACTTTATAAATTGCACATGCTTTAGTTACTATGACATTCATCAAAATGTGATCCATTAAAATAACTAACCAACTGTGTTCGCAAGCTAATTTATTATGCTTAATTGCTGCTAATAGAAAACAAATGTGTGTGTCATAAAAGATGATTGAGTCATGCGCTACAATGTGTGCAGCCTTGTCCCTCATCTCATGCCCAAATGCTGAAGATCAACCAAAAAGAGTACTTTTTCATAAGTAGAACCTCAGACATAAGCACAAGCATGAGCTACCGCATTGCCTAGCTTGCAATTCTTATGATAAAGATTGATAATCATGCTATTTGTGGTCAATGGTCACGAATTTCCTAGTTTTTTCCCCTTGACTTTTTTGTGCTATGGTTCATCAAATTTCTTCTCGTTTATTTCCTCTTCTATATTTATCTTATATTTTTTCTATCTCTTTAATCGGTTCAACTCTTCCCCCCTTCTTCAAGGCTTTGGATGCTCACTTTTCTCTTACCATTTACTGATGTCCAAGCAACCACAAAATTATTACAATTGACTGTTTGACATTCACATTTTGTAGTATGTTTGAGTATTAGGCTCTTATGTTTTCAGATGAATCGAGTAAATATATGGGATACATCACAACTAAATAAATTGATGTAATTTGGAATTACTTAGCATTTATCATGTCAATGAGTTCAATGCATCACAACCATATCCCTACATTTGAAGCAAAAAAACCCTTCGATCTATTGAGGTGACGGTCTCTCCTTGTATATCACATGGTCTAGTCACTAACTCCCTAATTGAAATAAGAAGGATTTTTAGTAGACTCAAGTCCAGTTTTCATAGGGGTAACTAAAGAAGTAAGCCAAAAGATGGGCTAGCCAAAAGATGGGCTAACAACACCTAATTTGGTCCTAAGCTGTTCTTGATTAACTGGTCATATATTAGATTAATATCAGTTTCTTTCGAAAAATTACATGTATGTTGACCACAAAGAGAACTGGAGTCGAATTAAAAACCTCTGATAACACTCGTGATTAAATAAAGATAAGATCACCGGAACATGTGAAACTTATGTCATTAAATGTGTTAACACCTAAACTTTTTGAGAATAGACGTATCAACCAAAAGGTGAAAGCATGGTAAAACTTGAAGAAAACCCTAATTATCAGCTTAAACTTTGAAACGAGACCCAATTCGAGTTCGCCAATCATATGAAAAAGTGGGGTAGAGAAGGCTCCTAAGAAAATCTACAAGCTAGTGGGCGGTTATGTTCTAAAAAATAACCTAAATGGTAATCATGGGATTGGAGACTAATATATATTGAATTACAATGAGCTGGAGACTCCCACAACAAAGAACCAAAATATTTATATTATTATAATTATATTTGTCTTTTACTTCCCACTGTTGCTTAGTTCCGTGTGTTTTGCTGCTTTAAGTTGTAATTCAGACTTGCAAAATTAATTTCTTTACTTAATGCAATTTACTCTCTAGCACTTAATTACTGGCAATTTACTGCTTTTCAATCAATCGGCTTTGAGGATAACCCCCTATCGGATAGGAGTATCTAATCTCTACTTGTTCTTGAATACCTTTAGTTGCAATTTCACTTAAGTTGATTTAATAGGAGGGGTAGACTTATTTTAGAGATGGTTCAAAGTGAAGCCACCGCACTCGATGAAACATCACGTCAGATCATCTTCCTGTCTTATCAAGTGCGTTCTTTAACAGGAAATACGGTCTAAGTCATGCTATCAACTTTCCAATCAAGAGGAACTTCCTATCGTTAGAGCATATTCTCTACGGTTCAAACCACTGACCCTTAAGCACTACATGGCTGATTTTAGAGCAAACTAAAT